CATAATAGATGACTTTCTAGTTACCAGGATGCTCATACCCAGTTTGATATTGGAAAACAAAGTAATCAAACAACTTACTTCAAGATTTCACTATTGCACATTGATGCTATTGATTGGGGAAAGATTTGGTAGAGATGAATGGTACACACTTTCCAACAATAAACAGTTTCCCTGTTCATTAAAAGAACATATAGGAGTATGGCACATAGCTGGTTTACTGCTGTCTAAAGGGTCATTAAGGCGATATTATGCAAGGAAGAAATGAACGATGTAGTGACTTAACTGAATTTTTCATGCATAGTATGCGTTTTTGCTTATTAGGTTATGGACCTGTAGTGATTTATATGGTTGATTCATATTACATATGTCTAAGTAGTGACTGGCATTAGGTAGATGAGATAGAAATGTTTAGGTCAGCGAATGAATTGATTTTATCCATACTTCTTAGTAACATGAACAATCACTAGAATGTTATTAGTAGCTGAAAATGCAACTTGAAATTGCTCTGTATAGTTTTATAACCACACTGTTTAGCTTATAGTCTTGCATAATTAACTACTTTTTACTTCATATCATTTACTAATCTAATTGAAATTACATTTTTCTCGACTTTTCTCATCATGATATGCTACGAAATTCCTGCAATATAAATCGACTTAATAATATATTTAAAGCTATCTCACTGTTGTGCTAAACAAACAACGAAATCACATCACCAGTACTCTTCTATATGAGGTTTTAAAGTTTTATATTGGATATTAGGTATATCTGATAGTTGAATAAATGGATAAACGATTACAGTAAATATTATATTAATATAAACAATGGGAATAAATATAAAGGTCAATTTTATGGAAATCGAAGTGATTTAATAAAAAGACTGATCAGTTAGCCATAATGAACGTAGAGACTGGGACAAATTTGTGTTAGCACTAGTTTTCATACTGATATGAGTAAGGTTGTTGAACAAAACCGACTCCCCTCTTTATGCTAATGAGGATATAGCATTACTGAAAAACTAATAACGACCAAGTAAATAAATGTTTGAAAGTTAAGATTATTTGTGTAAAATATCCAACTATAATATGAATGGGTTACTCTACAGAAATCTATGGATGATGGACATATGAAGATTATAGTTGATATTATATGAAACTGAACTTTTGATGTCAGTGGCTGCACAATACCAAAAGAACTATGAATTTTTCCAAATTAATACTTCGACAAATTGTTGGTGATCATGAAGTCTAACCTAAAAGATTTACAGAGTCAAGATTTACCAAAAATACAACTTTTTAACAGATCGTGAAGTCTATTACTATTCAAGTTTTTTTTGGGGGGGGGTGAGGAATGGGTAGTAAACAATAAGTTTCTGATTAGTGCTTCCAAAGTGGAAAGTTGACTGCTTTTTTGATCATTTCATTGTGGACTATATTTATTTTTGTGTCCATAAACGCTTCAATACTAGTTTCTATGAGATTTTCATAGACCCATATCGATTACACATAGATTGGAGCTTACAGATTTGTTTAGGATAAATTAATTTAAAAAAGATCGCTAACGAAGTAACTACTACGCAAAGTATAATGCATATATATATATATATATATATATATATATATATATATATATATATATATATATATATATATGTATATATATATATATAAGCGACACGGAGCGTAGAGATTATATTAGAGATTGGCACTTCTCTCTGTACCGGACATCAATCGATCGTGCTGCTGTTGTCCATTATTGTTTTTTTCGTTTGTGTTTACACGAGTTGAGTTGTCACTATCATTGTCTGCATTCCCGTTGTTAGGACGAGATCGTTTGCTATTGGATTGATTTTCGAGTTTGGAAGATGCTTCACTGTGGGAACTAAAATTATAATATACAAGGTATGAGACATTTTGAGTACAACACAATCAAGAATTTAACATTTTAATAATTACTTGAGAGATAACAGACTATAAATTACTGTTTAAATCTTAGGCACAGGGCACAAAATTACAAGACCACAAGGCAAAATTAAGTCGGACGATGATTATATGATGTGGTAGAATAGAACGTTGATATCATTATCAGGCTTGTGAATGACTTAATCAAAGTCGATCTGTCCAAAAAGTCAACAAACGCAGTATCAATTTAACGCTAAAAACAAACCATATGTGAATCTTAATCAAACAAACTAACTTCAGTACCGTGAACTAATATGAAATTTAAAAAAGCCATTTGCTGATTATTCCACGAAAATAAAAATTTGTACGAATGCACCATTAGTAAACTATTACCATGAAATTATACACTACAATTACAGAACGCATCGTCTTTACATACAAGAAAATTTAAAAACACTAACAGAATATTGAATCGTATCTTAATATCAAGAAAAAGATAACTCAAGCACTACATTATGAAAAATAAAAGGGTTCATAAAAAACCAGTACTATTCGCGCGAAAAATTCTAACAAATAAGAAAGATATCATAAAGAACTGAATAAATAAATAATATAATATACATAGTGATGAATAACTACTTAATATATACCAATCGGTGTGGAAAGACATCAGTATGAATTTAACTCGAAATATATGTAAACCACAAACCGAAGAAAACAATAAACAGACAAAACAATATGGAACAAATCTACCAAATTATGAAGGAAATGTAGACTAATAATGCTAAGCAAAACAGTCGCTAATAATGTAACTGTACATAGCAATAAAAGTCATGGAAGACAAACTTAAAATTTACATTATTGAGTTTGATATTGGCGTCATCCAGGGTAACTGTAGGCGTTTCACTCCAAATGTCCTGTACGACCGGCGGTGGGGACAGTCACCTCACCCTCTCGAAATGCTCTCACACAGCCACGCAAACACGGGCACTTCTAGGAAATTTCTACTATGCATTCTCGTAGCGGGTGTGTTGTTTACGAAGTTGAGAAAACGAAAAGCGGATGTCCGGCGCTTTAACCGGGTTGGTGAATATGGGGGATCTACCTAGGGGAGTTGAAAAACCCTAATTACAAAGCAATGTTGCACATGGGCTCCAGTATCCTGAAGGAACAAATGGTGTAGGAACCAACCGTTGATCTCCGGCTACCATGGGACTGAGTCTCATGACGTTGCCCCACTGCTTTCTGGATCAGACCTTTAGGTCGAAGGCCCCGGGAGTGGCCCCCTGCTTCAGTCTGGGCACCTAGGCAGTATCACAACCCACACACAAATCAATTGACTTGTTTGGCGCATATGTATGAGGTGCTCCTTTGTACTAATATTTATGTATTCAAATACGTAAATAAATAAATAATAAACGCTCAAACTATCTAGCTCAGAAAACCCAAATATTCACTTTGAATACTTAAAGAACGGTTGGTATTAGCTGTACTAGTTCTCTAGCGTTACGCCAGTTGTATTAACAGTCTAACCACTATAGACTAATGATTACTACGATTTGTTGAACTATTCTATCGAATTGTCTGTTGAAGAAGGGTGTACATAAAGTGTGTTAACATATTGAAGGCTCTGTATACAAACACCTCTGGCAAAGTGATGGCATGCAACCACCTCACCACTGATCTACTCAAGCATTGGGGTTAGACAGGTTTCTCTAATCTTGCCATTCTTCTTTAACTTTGCCATCGGTGACGTCCTGGAAACATCTCTGATGGAAGTAGATAATGAGGGTGCGGACTCATTACCCAGAAAAAGACTTTTCGACCTTTGGTATGATGATGATATTGTCTTACTGTGCGATGATTCAAACCCTGCAAACCGCTCTTAGCCAGTTGGTAACCAATGTCCATAGGTATGGCATGTGCTTTGCGCTTTCCAAATGCAAAGTATCTTTACAAAATTGACAGGAACTTGTGAATGAACTCAGTCCTGTTAGTGAACAATTAGTAGTCAAAACGTCTATATATCTGTAGTTGTGTAATTGCTGGAGGTGGCGTAACTGATGAGATTGGTTTAAATAAAGTGAAAGCTAGAGAAGCTTGTGTCAATCTGGGCTATCTTTGATGCTTTCGTGATGTTAGTTTGGTTGTTATAGGTTGAGTTGAAAACGTGTCGGTGAGAGCAGTCTTGCTATATGCTTGTGAAACCTGACCTCTCGTCATTGGGGATGTTAGACAACTATGTGTTTGGTTAACGTTATCAAAGAAGGATTGGTGACGTTCAGTGGCAATAGCACATTAGTGATGCAGCGACTTGGGAACGTGTGTTTGGGCACAGTGACGATAATTCGGTTAATGTCACCAATTTTAAACATAGACTTTGGCGGCATGGACATAAGCTACGAATGTTGTCCCAGCGAATTCCACCTCGTACATTATTTGCCGACGCAGGGACTGGTTGGAAAAGTGAAGAGGTAGTCAGTATACGAAATGATACTGTGATATGAAAGCTGTACACGACCGGACTGTCAGCCCTCCATAGTTTCCTGGTCGGGCCTTACAGATATTGCAACACAGTAACTTGAGACATTATTAGGTATGACTTAGAAGCTAGCAGTGGCTTTGTTATAATCTTATTTTACTTTTATAAAAGTGAGAGAAGCTCCAGTAACAGACGACTTTTGCTGGTTGTATTTTTTTCAACAGAACTGCTTCCCTTATAATTTTTTTAAACTTTCATTTACGTTTATGCATCTGTTGATTTTGTCTTAGATTATGTTTATCTTCCTTCCTAAATCGCTTCATAAACTCATTTCCATATTGCGTGGCACATAATTATCTTAGTGCCCCCTTGTACCAATATTCATGTATCTCAGTCAGCCAGTCACAACGTGGGACCAGGCACATATATGCACCAGTCCAAGTTGCCATACCTCATTAACACAACAAGATCAACACCGAATTCATAGAAGTAGTTACTTCAACGGACGAAACGGCCGTCCAGTGCTTCCAGGTTTTCAATGGTGGTCTAGCTTCAACTGACTCATGATTTCTATCTGTGAAAATATATCATTTGAGTATTCCAATTCGATAAGTGACCTCCTGGGAAGAGATCAATTCTTGAAAATTCAGACGACGAGAACCTTATTTCCAGCACTGGGTCTATGATGAAATTGAACAGAAATGGAGATAATGGACAGTGTTGTCGGACACCACCTGAGGTTACGAAATCAAATGACAGTTCGTCATAAGCTCTGACTCGCCTATTAGTGTTCGAGTAAAGAGCATTTACCATATAGGCTTTGACATTACAATCTGAATAGTATAGCTCAATCCTTTGGCGCAACCACACAGGTTCCCAGCACCCTGGTGGACCGACTTATGTATATAAATAAAATAGTGTTCTTCACTTTTCATGATAGTTTAGTAGATTATTACTCTTGTAAGGACACTGAACACCTTGGGATCGCAAATATATTTTCAACCTCACTGAATCCATCACTAACATCAGTCATAGCTACTGAGATGGCTCTGGTAACCTGCTTTTCGGTTGCTTACGTTAATACTTACATGAGTTGTTGAATAATTGTTAACTAGGTCACTAAAACCCTGTGGTTTTTTTCTACTTGGTTATTAACATCTAAAACTATCTTATGAAAACTATATATATTATACGATATCAGTAAACAGCTTTTGAAATATGTCCAAAGTTCTTCGATTCATACATAGTAAAAATACCAATGAATAAAATGATAGAAAACTAATTGGCCAAAACATATTAACCTGAGTACATAAATTGACTTCCGTAAATATAAAATATTTAAAATTCAAAATACCTTGATGATGAGTCAGAGTGTGATGAATGTGAGGTCTGGCTAGAAGATGAGGAAGAATCAGAGTCTGAATCCGAAGAAGATGAGTGGCTATGACTTCGTGACTTGTTTTTTGCAGCTTCTTGTGAAGATGCAGGTTTTCGTTGATTTGATAACTCATCATCCGAATCGTTGTTTTCTGCCCCCCAAATATCATACTTTGAGAGATCAGCATCATCACCAGAATCTTCATCTTCACTGTCATCACCTTTATTATTGCCATTTTCGTCCTCATCATCTTTATCATGAACTCGTGTAACAGAATTGTTACCCAAATTGGACGAGTCATGGTTGCTAGATTGTTCACTCTGATTTTTTCGAAAGCTTTTCTTTTTACGACCGAATTCATCAAACTCATCATCTGAGTCTCTGCGTTCTCTGTACTCTACTACTTCATCACGCTCCATAAACCCTCCACCATAACCTGTTCTTTCGCCTTGTATGTCGACCTTCGATCCATTGCACACGTTGCAAGTACTTCGACGTGCCCAGTTGATATTTCCACATCTATATACAATGTTTAAGAAACAAACTGAGAATAAACAATGAGGATGTGAAATAAGTCATCATTTACCTACTGTTCAAAACACTGAATTAAAGGTGATTTGTAAAATCGTACACTCCAAACTTTGAAGGAGTAAGAATTAGAACGCTGTCAAAACATTCAGAGAAAGGGGTTCGGAAAAGAAACTAGTCCGGTTGATTAAACTACTGATGCGTAAAATATATCAAAATAATTATGAGTACTTAGAATGGGAAGCATATTTAAAGAGGAAAAGGATAGAAGCTATAGAGCAAATTACGCTTTTTAGACCGATATATACAAGTTATACGGCATGTAAGTATGAGGTATTTCACACACTAAGTTTTTATTGCTTGAATGAGGTGAAGGCAGGACTGGGAACTAGTCTTTAGAAGGAATCCAACGTTCGTGTGGTGGGGCCATAATTTGTGGACAACCTTTGAGGAACGATTAAGTGACCTCAAGGTAACTCATCTACTAACCAATGTCAAAAAAGTGTAAATTAATAAGGAATTAGAATTTAAGGTTATGAATCAAAGTAAAGGTTTTCATTAAAACATCAGCTATTATTATTTTATTTAAACACATAAACATTGCTACAAGGAGGCATCAAATAGATATATACCACATAGATCATTCGATTCGTGTGACGGCCGGGATAATGCCTAGATGCCTAAACCGAAGCAGGTGGTTTTCTTAGGGGGCCAAACCCGAAACCATTGACCTAAATGTCTAATCCAGAAAGCAGTGGATCGACGTCAGGAGATGCAGTCCCATGGTAGCCGGAGATCGATGGTGGGTTTATACGCCATTTGTTCCTTCAGGACACTGGAGCCCATGTGCAACATTGCTTTGGAATTAGGGTTTTCCAACTCTCCTAAGTGAACTCTCCGTGTCCACCAGACATCAGCTATAATCCCAAAATGCTATTTAAATATGAGAATAAATTAATTTTGCGCCAAAATTCAGGGCTTTTTTTTCTTAATTTCATTGGGTTGTTCATAAATTATGGTCTCGCTGTTAATACTAAGCTTGACTGATGTCACATTTAAAGTTGGATATATATGCAAGATTAATTTACACGATGAACTTCACCCGAGATCCCATTTCGAGCAGCAGAATGTTAGCTTCACGAGTAAGACGGTTAGCTATGGGGACGAAGCAATCAGATTTTAGAAAGTACGCGTGGAATTCGTGATCAAAATTTAAATGGTTATAGTGTTGTATTATGACTGGATTCAGTTCGTGTAAAAGTCATGACACTAATCCTGAGTCATAACCTCAATTCCTGACTTTATCTTGAGTTTAATTTCTGCAAAGTCACTTTTGGGATAGCACAAGCTTGTTTTTATACTTTGGTACCACCCTTAAAAAGCCAATAAAATAAATAACTGAAATTCTTGTCTACAAGGGAGTGTAATAAGAGTTGAACCCATTGCAGAATGGAAGCGTACTACGGGATACCTTTAACAATCTTGCTGCGGAGAAGACTTTAACTTATTTAAGGCAAAGTAACGTTTTATAGTGAGTAGCCACTAGGGTGACACTGAACTATAGCACGTGGCTGCACTCGAAATCATTAAAGATTTTCATCGCGCACTTACGTCTTACAAATCCAATCATCTGGACTGAAAAGACCTTTGCTTTTTTCAGCTAGCTGTTTCCCGACCTCTAAACCAGCATTACCTGAAGCCACAAACTTCCTAGGCTTGTCACAACGGTTGCACTTGTCCCTTTTAGCAAAATTCACATTTTTACATCTGAAAGCTTATTTGTGAAGGTTGGCAATCTTACTTTGGATCACTACAAACCCAATCTTCTTTCGATGAGCGAGACATAGATGTGCAACGTTAACAACTGTAATCCCGCGGTTAACTATTCAAATGGTTCAAATGGTTCAAATGGTTGTGGACGGAATAGAAGAAGCTTTCGCTTAACAGGCTTCCGTGTCTAGTAGCAGGGGATCACCAAATCCTCCAGGCAGGAACCTGAGAGCGAAGCTTTCATCTATCAGTGAAATCGTTCTACCAACCTTTTAACCTATGGGTCATGTGTGGTATTTCGGAATCACGTGATTTCTGGTAGTGTACCAAGACAACTGAAAAGTCCGGATTCGAACTGGCGTCCACGGTCTGTGGTGATAGTTGAAGAGCCACTGGGGCTCGCTATCCATCATTTGACGACGGAGCAGGCTACTGTATGGGCAGTGATGTCCTCGATAAGCACTGCTTCTTGCCATTATGTGAAATGGTTTACACACGTTAAGAAGTAATATTGTTCATTTGAATCTGGTAAGGGTCCTAACAAACCAGTATGAACATGGTCAAAAGGGGTGTCAGGAGTTGTGAGAGAGCAAAGAGGACATTTGTTGTGTCAAATCACCTTAGATTTCTTGTAGTTTACACTGGATCGTGGCCACTTCCTCACGTCCTTATTTATACCAGTCTAATAAAACCGTTTTGCTATGAATTAGATGGTTGATGAGAACGTTTGTACAACGTGTTGAGGACGCTGCATCGATAACGTTTCTGCACTATTAGGCGATCCCCACCCGCAGATGCGACACACAGTAGAGTTTCCTTACCTGTTCCCATCTGTTTGATCTGTAGATTTGTGGTTGTCGAAGATAACTAGCTTTGAAGATCAGTATCATCTTTTGGAATGTCGATGCCTTGGAAACTGTTGAGGAAGGTTAAGTACCGTATTTCCATATGGAATTTTATTTACATGGGGTTATTTGGGGCTGTAGATGAATAACTAATATTTCATGTTGTAGGACAGTGTCTGGTGGGACACCCCAGGGTACAACTTTTAGTCTTCAGTGGTGTGTTGTCCATTATGCATACAAACGAGCTTATTAGTTTCTTATAATCATTAATCTTCTAATATGCCGACGAAATTAAGATGTTGAAGGGTAAGTAAAGAGACGAAGCGTCTTTACTGATATGGATTTTCCCAGAAATGTGTTGTATATCTGAAGTGAACTGTAAGAGGTAGTCCAGTTACCGAGACTCTCGAGTGGAGTGCTTGCCTGGATACGAACTCAGAGAGAAGGTAAGAGGTTTGTGATCGGTGGAAAGAGTGGATTCTCGGCCTTCCACGGAGTGTTAGAAGTGCTGTGCAACACAACAAATGTCTAGGAGTCCCCATCCGATGGTGTTATACCTCGGCTAAGTGTCCAACAATCGTTTCGAGAGGAATGCCAATGAAATATACTGCTCCGACAAAGTGAGCTAGAAAAAGATTTACCGGAACTATACCTAAAATTAGGATTGAACCCTACTTAAATTTTCTGACGACATCAGTCTTCAGTAATAGGAACAGTAGATGAGTGGACCTCACTGTTTGCTTTCTATTGAAGATCCAGCTTCTCCTTGGAATTGTACACTGCTTGTTCGTGTAAGGCCTTTCACTCATTAGTCACTAAATGAGAAGAACTGGCCTTCACTCCGAGTTTATTGGATCGCGGTTTATGAAACTTCTTGCTGTGGCCCAAAGATTATAAGTGCTGTGGGGAGCAAAATGATGAAACACATTAACACACAAATCGTAATTAAAGTTACAAAATACCAAAATGAGGTCACATCGCATTCTACGACACGATAAGGTGGAAGGGTTTGGGTGTGCTAAGAACTCATTGTGAGAATGTCTTGGAAGGCCTTTCACTAATTTTGCTTCGACATGCTGAATACGCTTACGCAAGTTACTATCTTTAATAAGACATGATCCGGTTGGTTGATTGCATTACTGTGGATGTGGTCTTACCTAGGTGGAACATAAATTTCGAAACATCTCCTCGTTAAAAAATTTAAAGGGGCGGCGAATTAACTATTACGCTCGGAAATTTTCGGTGGCTACTGCGTTGCAATGCGTAGTTGTTTTCAAATCTTGATGTAAAAATTGCAACTAAGTCTCTGTGTCCCTGTACGTATGGAGGCTATGTACCGTTGATAGTTCACTGGCAACTATTACCTTGCATGTGCATGAGTGCACTTTTTGGAATAAGTTGCTAAGCCCTAAACTTGGGATCACTTAACTAGTTCGTCTAGGTCAGCCTGAGAACAAAAATGATCAGCCTCACTTTTATTATTCTCCAGATTTCGATGCCGATGACTTGAACACTAACAACAATTCATTGACGTAGGGAAAGAAAAGTAGAGGACCTAAGATAGTACCTTGGGGTGGGAAAAGACATTTTGAAGTGAATCGTGGGTGGCTTTGAAGTGATATCGGCGAGGCATAAAAGCAATCGTGAATGTAACTTATCAAGACTTCGGCACCTTACTATATCTGAGGTTAGTGACCAACTGAAGAACAGCTTCCCCAGTCACATGTGCAGGTCTTAAAGATAGTATCTGTGTTGTGGTTGTGACAAGTATCGTTAACAATACGTGCAGAGTAGATTTCTTTCAGATAGTTTGATAAAGGTTCGGCTTTCGCCAAATCTGACTCAGCTGGTGTATCTGAATTTTCGTGCAACAAAAATGGAGGAATAGCATCACTACGTTCTGTTCTTTGTTTAATGCACAAAAACAAACATTTGAGACAGGTACGGCTAACATGTGCCGACTGTTGTAAGTAAACGTTAGAACATCTGGCTGTGGTCTTTTTACACATATTTCAGATTTTTCGGTACCCACACTTGAGTGATTTGTGTGTTATTGACAAGAATAATCCCAGAAGTGTTTCCTACGCCTCAGCAGGCTTCGGGTATCTTTGTCGATTCATGGTGTGCAACGTGGTAGTTCAAGTGTTGACCATAGGATGTACGGTAATGTTATGAACTCGAGTGTAACTTTAAACTTATTTCACACGTTTCCAATAAATCCATGTGCATTGATCCATCAACACGTTCAGATAGCATAGCTTTCGTGCTTAAAGGTAACCTTCATTCTGTTGATAGAAGAGACCAGACTAGTAGCAAGTAGGTCTTTATTTAGATAGCGAGACAGTCCCAGAGGACAGGGGGATTACCTATTCAAACAAACAAAGCCTCTCAACATTCAATATAAGATAATAGGAAACATAATGCCTATACGAAATAAGGAAGTGAATGAGTACTTGAGCTGTGTTTTTTGACGTATACTTAGTTGTTTGAGGTCAACTCTTAACTATTCAACCTAAGTTGTCACAGAGTCTCCGATTGCCGGAATGTTAGTTCATCAGATATTGGGAGGAGGTTGAGCATACAAATAATGTATATTGCGTGTCCAAAGCCTAAAGTGCAATAAAACGTAGTCACTAGTTACCAGTGGGAGAAGGTGCTAATTGTCGATGACATTATTATAATGGCGTGTAAGGACAAGGTTCAGCAGTGACGGTCACTGTTCAAACCAACACGTATCGATTTTATGATACAATTTACAAGCTCAGGTCGTTATCGAAACATACATCTGAAGTTGTAAGTTCTATCCACTTGATATGCGGCGAACTGAAATCTCCATCGATGTGACAATATTCGGTCTTACTCTAAGAACAAATATGACTTAAGATCATGTCGTCAGTTAAACAGCGTGGGCTACAGAACATTCGTTTTAAAGTCACTAAACCGTGTCTAGATTTAGTTATACAAGTAACCTCACATGTACCACTATAACGCTGCTCGGATGCCTTCGATTTGCACAAAAGCGATCTCTAACATAAAGTATTATGCCTCCTCCTTTGTGATTTTTAACTCTATCACTTGTAATACAGACGTACCTTGCAGTGATTAGAGCTACGTTTCTAATAAAACAGTTATCTTTGTACTTAATTCATCCATCCCACTTACCGAGTATTAATACGTTAGTGATATGGACTCCTGGACCTCTTCTGGTAGTATATTTATGATGTTAGATTTAACCATATCCAAACTGTCTGCATGATTTTAGCAAAGTCATTTTCTTTCGACTCCTCCAGGTTCAAAATTATTAAATTAAGAACGGATTTGGCTGCTTTGAAAGTCGCGATCGTGGTTTTTGACAGTGTTGCTGTTTCGCGTATGTCAACTTACTTACTTACTTACTTACTTACTTACGCCTGTTACTCCCAATCGAGCATAGGCCACCGACCAGCATTCTCCAACCCATTCTGTCCTGGGCCTTCCTTTCTAGTTCCATCCAATTCTTGTTCATTTTTCTCTTGTCTATCTCCATTTCCCGGCGCAATGTGTTCTTTGGTCCTCCTCTTTTCCTTTGGCATTGAGGATTCCATGTGAGGGCTTGTCTTGTGACGCAGTTGAGTGTTTTCTTCAATGTGTGTCATATCCACTTCCAGCGCTTCTTCCTAATCTCCTCCTCTGTTAGGATCTGGTTTGTTTTTTCCCACAGTTGGTTGTTGCTAATAGTTTCTGGCCAACGGATCCGAAGTATTTTGCTTAGACAACCGTTAATAAACACCTGTATCTTCTGGATGATGGTTTTTTTAGTTCTCCAAGTTTCCGCCCCATACAGTAGAACTGTCTTGACATCGTATGTCAACTACTAAGAGTTTTTCTTTGGTTGTTTTTGGGCCTGAGTCACTTGAATCGAACAAATTACTCACGATACATTCAATGAGATAAAACTTTCCGATTACGCTAGGGTTAAATATTGTCTCACTTTGGGACTTTGGCGAAGTATTCTGTGACGTGGAATGTTATTCTACTAAAGGTTTGTCGATAAAACGGGCGCTGTTTGTAGTCATGTTCTTTCTCTTCTTTATTTCGACACTACCCTCGGTTTCCCGTCAGTCGGAGCATTCACATCGGGACTACTCAGGATGGTGACTGCTTTATCCAGGTCTTCGGGCACCAGAGTACACTTGTGACTATGAATATCCACTGGTATTCCACTCTTTAATTATTTTAAAAGATATTCTCTTATAGTATGATGCGCTCAGGCTCGGGCGCATCCCGTAACAGCA